TTTTGATTAGGTAATTATGATCTCTTTTTGGGTTTAATTTATTTGAAAGGTGTGATCTGTTTAAAGGTGGTGACAAAAGCTTGCACTAAAATTTGGCAAGTCTGCCTGTTTGTTTGTGTTGCTTTAATTTAATCTTTATATTTGGATATAGCAACAGTAGAGGTTTTTGGTACAGAGTCTTATTCGCCTCCTGAGTAGGAATGTAATAAGAGTGAGGGAAGAATGGGAAGAGGAGTGTTAGGTCAAAGGTCTTTTGTGAATTTGTTAGTGATATTATAAGACTAACCTTCTAACGTCTGTGTGTACGTCCAGGTCTGTTCCGACGAATCATATAAAATAATTTGTAAATCCTTCTTGTTCTTCTTGTGTAACTACGTGATCTTCTGGATTATTACCCCCAGAACTTGGTCGTCTAGATAAGTAAACGCTTCCACGCGGCTCTTGGGTTTTTGAACTTTTATTTCAGTCGGCAAATACAGTATACAGCGATAACCTCAAACTTGGGTAATTACACCATAAAATCATAAAATAAAGATTCTAACAGAGGGTTACATTTAAAACATAAAAACACGCTAAAATACCATAAAGTAGAAACAGTTAACAATAAGAGTAAGAACAGATAGGATTGAATCACGTCTTCAGTGATCACTTCTTCTGGCTATGTAGTATCCGGTGCTGGGCGAAGTTGACATCCACAGTTGATCCGACCCCGCCGGCACTTGCTTCTCAATAGGTGTCTTCTTAGAATTAGCTGTGCTTTCCCCGCGGTTTTGACAAGTTTGCCTTCATCTTCTCCAGTCTCCCCAGCCTGGGAAAATGCTCTTAATCCGTCGCTTTCACCTCTCCAGCCTGAGAAAGTTCGCTTTGATGCTACAACCTCCATAACTTGTTTTCATTCTATAGATAAAGAACATCATTTTAGCTCACAAATGCGTCGAGAGACTTCCCCAAAAAGTGATGGGTGAACTGATTGTTGGCAGCTATTTTAGGCGTTGAAAGCTGTGGGTGGACGTGATCGGGGTTACGCTTTTTCCTATCTTAATGCACAGAAATTAAGATTTATAAACTTTATTACTGTGCAATTGTTAAGAATAGAGTCAGGAAACGTTTTTTTAATAAATAAAAATTTTCAAGGTTTTTGGCTTCAAAGCAACACTGATTTTTTCTATAGCATTTTTAAAATTTATCTAACGTAATTTCCTCGCTATTTCGAGCAAATTTTTTTGTGATGGAGCAGTTACAGCGAATTATTTTTTATGAGTGCTATTTTTTACCATGATTAAAATTTTACTTGTTTCTGTTATAAGCTTTCTGGACTTGATTAATTATTTGATATAAAGCTTAAAATGTTCTCCCTAAATCTTTTGCTGTTTTCATTACGTGATTCACCGTTCTGTTTTCACAGAAGATGCTTTAGTGTGGGTTTAGTGCAGGTTTTCAGTAAGCAATGCGACGCTAATGAAGGAGGTTT